GAGGCAGTATCACTACGGAAGTAGGATTGCCCAACCTTCCTTCCGAGGAGTGGCTGGTGGATAGACGACTTAATCTTTTTTTGGCCTAAATAATGTGGAGGAGATAAAATGCCCTGTCAGTTCACAAATTCTGTGAACATGATGATTTATTTAAGAAACAAAAGGTAACCATAAAGATGTGAAAAGTCTGTTTTTCAGACACCTAAATGTTCCTCACTAAGGTGGCAGAAGAATAACCAAGCAGATAAAGCCTAGATTCCTTTAATTTCTGGAATTACACTGTGAATGAACTTGGATGATAGCAAATTATTCATAAAGTTCATTTTGAATGTTTGATCCTCACTTTTGCAAAATTTATGTTTCTTGGCAAATAGAAATATAATTTCATATACCAGAAAGAATTTAGGATGGCACATACAAATTGTATTTTTTTCTGAATCATATAATTTAATGATAGAAAGAATACTACTTTATTCATCAGGTTAGGTTTTGACTTTAAATGTTTTTTCCATCCCTTACTGTTTTTTATTAATTTCTTAAAAATACACCCACATTTGTGTTTATATAAGACATCATGGAGAAACTAATTTTATTAGGGTACTAAAGAACAGAAAAGACTTCATGGTTCCATGGTTAAGAAAACCCAACAAATAGCCTTTATTCTTGGGTTACAAAATCCAAACCAAACCCACTGTTAATTTTACTTATAGGGATCCTGTAGGACAAAGTAGAACTGCCCCATAGGGTTTCCAAAGCTGTAATCTTTATGGAAATAGACTTCCTTATCTTTTTCCCACGGAGCAGCTGGTGGGTTTGAACTGCTGATTATGTGATGAGCAGCTGAGCACTTAAATAGTTGCTACCAGGACTTCTTTGGGTTACATTGCAATTCTTGGGTTGTACTGAAGTAGTGAAAATATTTGCTGTAGATAAGAAAAACAGTAGTTTCCAGGGTTTAAATTCTACACATGGTAAGTGGAGGCATTTTCTTTCTTTGACTCTTTCTCAAATGAATAGAACTTTTTGTTAGCTTTTAGAAAATTTTAATATCTTGCTGTGTGACAAGACATTTTTTAAGTCAACAAATATTTTTGTGTAAATAATGATCACCCATAATTTTGACAGAGGTTCTTGGTCATTTTATGTCATGGTCATTCAGCCACATGATGACAGTCATCTAACATTGCTTCAAAAAGCTTTTTGCACGAAAGTTCAGGGGATTTGTTTGACCATCTGAAACTGGATCTGTGCTCCAGGAGATACAAATGAAGTAGAAGAAATGTGTCTGTTGTCAAGAAGCTGAAAGGACACATGTAGATTCCAGACATAGATGTTTGAAATAACTGTTGTTAAGTGCCATTGAGTCAGTTCTGACTCATAGCAATCCGATTTACAACAGAGTGAAACACTGCCCAATCCTGTACCATTCTCACAGTTGTTGCTATGTGTGAGCCCAGTGTTGTAGCCACTGTGTCAGTCCATCTCATTGAGGGTCTTTCTGTTTTTGGTTGACCTTCTAGGCCACCTATTTGAAGTAAGAATGTTTAAATACAAGGCTTTGAATTGTGTTGTCAGAATGTCCAATGTTGTATACATTCGAGAGAGGATACTCACTAGGAACTGATAGAAGATTTGGTAGGAAAGATGGAATTTAACTGAGTTAATAATGAATTGATATTCCTTATTCCGGAGACATAGAGCTTGCAGTGTGATAGGGAAAGGAATGCGAAGTAATCAAAGAATGTAAGGGAGGAGAAGAAGAGCATAATGTGTGTGTTGAGTACAAGTGTACTTTATAGTCAAACTTCATAGTTAATAATCATAAAATTTTACATCAATAATCTAGAAAGGCCTAAGAATAAATAGATACCAAGTTAGGCTTTGTATTTCAGAAGATGAGAACAAGTATATGTAGTTTCCCTAGATACATATCTTATTTTAGTTACTATCATTATTAACTTAAATTATTCTTTGGTATATTAGTTATTTTGTTATTGTTGCTAAGTGGTATTAAATCAGTTCTAACTCATAGTGATATAATTAGTAAAATTACAGATGCATAACTACCTTATTTTTTTGTTATTAAACAATGATTTACTATGTCTCATGACTCTGTGGGTTAACTAGGTGATGCTTTTGTTATAAATGGTATTGGCTTCACTCATATACTGTTGGTGGCTGGAAAGGGCTGAGAGGTCTGAGATGGTTTCTTCCACAAGTCTGGGGTTTTAGTGCTGTCTTTTGACTGGGACACCTCAAATCTGCCTCTTCCTCCATGTGGTATCTCATCTTTCAGAGCCTTTCTTTAATGGCCTTTCTTTCCAGTAGGATAATTTAGCCTTTCACAAATTGTTGTGGTTGGCTTCCAAGAGAGTAAAAATGGAAGCTACCAGGGCCAGAGCTTGCACAGTGTCACTTCTGCTGCATCTGTCAGTCAAAGCAAGTCACAAGCGCCATATATAAGAAGAAGATAATTAGACTCTATTTCTTCATGAGTGGAGAGACGTGTGTGTGTACAGGGCAGGGAGGAATGTTGGTGGCCATCTTTGGAGAGACTGTCACAATGGTCATTAAAAATTATTCTTTAGAAAAATATTTTATGGCATATTTGTTAAGTGAAAAAAGGGACCATTGTTGAGAACAGAATATTGTAGGAGAAAACATACTTTCTATAGAATAGAATACAGTACCTATTTTGTCTAAGACAATATATATGCCCCCCAAAAAGGACTGGAAACAGAAGTATCAATGTGTCATTAGACTTTGTTTATGGGTGGCAGAGTGAGATGTCTTATACATTTCTGTATTTTCTAAATAATTAGAAATTGAAATCAGGAAAAAAAATCTTGAGCATAATTTAGAGATGACTGAATAATTAGGTGTGATTTTAAAAAACTAAACATAAGTGTCATCAGTAACTACTTATTGAACTTTCCAGTTTCATCATTACCACCCTACCCTTTTCCCACTCATCTTCTATATGTAAACCAGTTTCTTTTTTTTTCTGATTATTATTTTTTTTCATAAAAATAATCATACATGTATATTTTATTTCCTTTTTTTTCCCATACCATATATATTCTTGTGCTTTGCTTTTTCAGTTAATAGTACCTACAGCTGTGGTGATGACACCAACTCAGTGACCTTATAGGATAGAATATAACTGCCTCCTAGGGTTTCCAAACAACAACTTTTTACGGACAGTATCATTAATACCAGATACAAATAAAAGTATGCTGAAAATCATTCAAAAATTGTTGTAGCAGTACATGGACAAGAAACCACCACAAATTCAAGCTGGATTCAGAAGAAGATAAGGAATGAGAGCTATCATTGCTGAGGTCAGATGGATCTTGGCTGAAAGCAAAGAACACCAGAAAGATGTTTACTTGTGTTTTATTGACTATGCAAATGCATTTAACTGTGTGGATCATAACAAATTATAGATAACATTGTGAAGAATGGAAATACTAGAACACTTAATTGTGTTAATGAGTAACCTGTAGGTAGACTAAAAGGTAGTTGTTCAAATAGAACATGGGATATTGCATGATTTAAAATCAGGAAGAGTGTGCGTCAAGGCTATATCCTTTCATCCATACATACTCAGTCTGTGTACTGAGCAGATAATCTGAGAAGCTGGACAGTATGAAAGAGAATACAGCATTAGGATTGGAGGAAGACTAATTAACAATCTGTGATAAGTAGATGGGTACAACTTTGCTTGGTGAAAGTGAAGAGGATTTGAAGCACTTATTGATGAAGAACAAAGACTACAGTCTTCAGTATGGATTACATATCAACAAAAAGAAAACAAAAATTCTCACAACTGGACCAACAATTAGCATCACGACAAATGGAAAAAAGATTGAAGTTTTCTGAGATTTCATTTTACTTGGATCCACAGTCTATATCGATGGAAGTAGTGGTCAAGAAATCAAATGATGTATTGCTTTGGGCAGATCTGCTGCAGAAGATGTCTTTAAAATGTTAAAGAATAAGATGTCACACCTGACTCAGGCTGTGGATGGTATTTTCCGTAGATTCATATGCATTAAAGCTGCAGAGTGAATAAGGAGGACGTCAGGAGAATTAATGCATTTGAGTTGTGGTGTTGGTGAAGAATATCGAATGTACCATGGACTGCTAGAAGAATGAATAAATCCGTCTTGGAGCAAGTACAGTTGGAATTTTCCTTAGAAGTGAGAATGGCAAGACTTTGCGACTTTGCCTTTTGTACTTTGGTATTGTCATCAGGAGGCTCCAGTCCCTGAAGAAGGACAACATGCTTGGTAAGGTAGAGGGTCGGCAAAAAAGGGGAGGATTCTCAAAGAGATGGACTGACACAGTGGCAGGAACAGTGGACT